TACCCCATTTGCTCAAGTTTTGGGTGCCTGGTCGGCACGATCCCAGGGCGGGATTCTTCTCTGCTTTGGCAGCCAGCAATTTAGGAGTGTTTAATGGATCCTAATTAGATGCTCATCCCAAACGGGTACTGCTGGGGCAGAAGAAGGAGCAGAGGCAGGGACAGACCTGCAGGGCTACGTGTCACCCTACAGAGGGGAAAGCGAAGCTGGGGGCAGCAGCACTCACCACCACCACTCTGGTTTCCAGCAGGCAAAGCAGGCAGGGCTGCTGAGGTCGTTTTGCTCCTTGCAACAGCCGCCTGTTTGCCCTGGGAGCTGCTTGCTGCTTTGCCTGCACGCCCAACGAGCCTCAGCTCAGCATCAACATGTGCCCAGCACCTCAAGACCCAAAGCACCCAAAGAAGAATGGAGTCCAAGCTGAGGCCATTCAGCCTGTCAGTGGCAAGAGGAGAGGAGCACGTCCCACATGGGACTTGATGGGACTTAGGCAAACTCCTCTGGATGAAGCCCCAGCCCCTCTGCATCAGGTCTGCTGGGAGGTCTGAGAGCTCTTTTAAGCTGAAAGAGGGTAGATTCAGATTGGACATAAGGAAGTTTTTTATGATGAGGGTGGTGAGGCACTGGCACAACTGGCCCAGAGCAGCTGTGTCTGCCCCATCTCTGGAAGTGTTCAAGGCCAGGTTGGACGGAACTTTGAGCAACCTGACCTGGTGCAAGATGTCCCTGCCCATGGCAGGGGGGTGGGACGAGACGGCCTTTGAAGGTCCCTCCCGACCCAAACCAGTCTGTGATTCTATGAGTATATGGTTTAAACATCATGTTTGCCTTCTGCTGTGCTCTGGCAGCAGGAGGGCATTTCCCCCATGGGTCCACCTAAACTCCTACCCATCAGTACCAACACACTCAGCTAATGGGTAGGGCTGGCAGCAGTAGGAGGCAGAAAAATCCTGGATGGAGAGTAAGAAAGACGACTCCTTGCCAAAGAAATTATCTGAAGCAGGCGGTTCCAGCTCGGAGGAACTCAATTTATATTCCCAAACGATGTGCCGGGAGCTGCTCACAGCTCCATCGACAAGCACAATGCAGGCGAGGCAGATGTTTTGGCGAGTGCCAGCAGCTGGAATAGGATCGCTGGCTCAGCTCGGCTGCACCCATGGCTTTCATCCCAAGGGAGCCTGGATCAGGTGGCTGCAGGTCTGGCTGGCAGGATCGCACAGCCCTTTCTGAAATAAAGAGGGATAGTGGTGCGCGAAGCAAGACTGCTGGATTATTTATTTATAGGGTCAAGCCTTGGAAAGGATCTCAGCACAGAAAAGCACAGCTTGTATGGGCTGTGTGTGGGGCCTAAGCAGCCCCGCGATGGTGAGAACGTGGTCTTGCCGGTGCCATCCCACGTTGCAGAAGCGACTTTCCCCAGGGCATGTCCCTGCCAAAGCTTTTTAGCATAGGGGAAAGGCAAATTTTTGGGGATGCCCAGGCTCAGCGTGGTGGGATGTGGCTTGGGGAAACGAAGCCCTGTGAAGGGTGAAGGACACAAGGACTGTGCTAGTGGGCAAGGCAAGGCACGAGGCTTGCCCACCGAAGCAGACACCATTGCCAGGGGTGAGCTTTCAGCGCCGGAGGAGGAAGGAGGTGGCTCCTGTGTAGGCTGGTGGGATGTGGCTGGGGGAAACGAAGCCCTGTGAAGGGTGAAGGACACAAGGACTGTGCTAGTGGGCAAGGCAAGGCACGAGGCTTGCCCACCGAAGCAGACACCATTGCCAGGGGTGAGCTTTCAGCGCCGGAGGAGGAAGGAGGTGGCTCCTGTGTAGGCTGGGCAGCGGCACGGCGGGGAGTGTGGCAGAGGCTGCTGCATCGCCCAGCCCCACGCGCTTGTTTTATTTATCCACGTGGTGACCAAGTGGCCAGGAATGATGAGACGCTCTGCAGCGGCTGCG